TCGATCCTTCAGATTCTTATAGTAATCTGCTTGGAAGTCGATTTGGATAAAAATTTACTGCCGCCATGGCGCCTAAACGCAAAAGAAAGGGGCAAACTCTTGACCCCCCTTCTGATGAAATTGATTTGAGTATTCAAATTGATTTGCTCACGGATGATGAGAATGATCCATCATCCAAGAAAAATTCTAGTAAACTTTCCCGGTTTAATGCCAAGAAGGAAAAGATTCCCCCTATTGTGATAACCACTTCCGATTTCCATGCTCTTCGCATGGAACTTTTGAATTTCGTGAAAGTTAAGTTTTCACTACAAATTGGACGTCGGGGTGAATGCCGTGTATTGGCTGAAACCTTGGACGGATTTAAATGTCTTCTCAAGTATCTTACTGAGAAGAAGCACAATTTTTTTTACTTACGACACCAAAACTGAACGTGTGTTCAAGGTTGTCATGAAAGGACTGCCCAGTGGTGAATCCCTGGATCAGATTAAAGATGAACTGGCAAAATTACTTGGAGTTGTGCCACTCCAAGTAATCAAAATGAAAATGAAATCCCGTCCTGGCGATTCGCGCAACGGGATAACTAATGATTTTTTTTTAGTACACTTCAAATCTAGTGAACTAAACAACCTTAAGGCCTTGGAAAAAGCTAGCCTTATGCTCCATGTCCGAGTGAAGCGGGAACACTTCAGGAAGACTGGAGGAAATTTCCAAAACCTCACCCAGTGCCGTAAGTGCCAGGGATGGGGTCACGGAACTAAAAATTTCTACATGCCAGCTAAATGCATGAATTGTGGTGATTCCACTCACGCAAAAAACGACTGTCCTGTGAAGGAAGATCATAAGAAATTTAAATGTTCAAATTGTGGTGAAAAGCACAAATCCAATTTTTGGGAATGTAAGACTCACAAAACGATCCTACAATCTCGTTCTAAGCGACAGGTAGGAAACGCTCCACTTTCCCGAACAGGTACAAATTCCTCTGCTGTTAACAACGGTCAGCGAGGAACAAATTCTACATTCGTACCCGTAGGTACAAATATCACCCCTGCTTCAAATTTTTCATCTGTAATCCTAATCCCCTCGCTGCTAAAAATGTTCAGCGAGTTAATGGAGCTACCTATGCTAGAAATCAAAATACTAACCAAAGTAATTCTAACGGAAATTTTGACAATTTTGACTTAGGAAGCATTACTGCCCCTAAAATGGAATTTTTACAGAAATCATTAATTGACATGATTTCTGATATGCTTAAATCTAACTCCATGTTTGATGCTATTCAAACTGGAGTAAAATTTGCAAATAATATTGTCATGACTTTAAAATTCAGTAATGGATTTTAAAGTATTAAATATTGTAAATTGGAATGCTCGATCTCTTAAAGATAATGAAGACGAGCTATTTAACTTTTTGAGAGTTCATAACGTGCATATTGCCGTTATAACTGAAACGTTCCTTAAACCTGACCATAAGGTTAAGAAGGACGCAAATTACTTGATTTATAGAAATGATCGTCTTGATGGACCCTGTGGTGGCGTTGCCATCATTATTCATAGACGAATCAAACATAAAATTCTTTCTTCATTTGAAACCAAAGTTTTTGAAAATTTGGGAGTTTCTGTTGAAACAAAATTTGGACAACTTACGTTTATAGCTGCCTATTTGCCATTCCCATGCGTAGGCCAGAAAAAAGAATTTTCTCAAGGGTGACCTCCAGAAACTTACCCGTCATAGGTCTAAATTCTTCATTATTGGTGATTTTAATGCAAAACACCGCTCATGGAATAATGCTCAAAGCAATTCCAATGGTAATATTCTGTTTGATGATTGTTCTGCAGGTTATTACACTATTCAATATCCAGTCAACAGTCCACATGCTTTTCTTCAGCAAGAAATCCCTCAACTATTGATTTGGTCTTAACTGATTCATGTCAACTTTGTAGCCAATTGGTTACCCATGCTGACTTCGGTTCTGATCACCTTCCAGTAACTTTTGAAATATCCCAAGAAATAATTTGTAGTCCCAACAGCTCTACTTTCAATTACCATAGAGCTGATTGGAAGCAATATCGAACATTTATGGAATATAACTTCGATCCAAACATTCCTTTGCAAACCAAAGATGAAATTAATTATGCTCTTGAATCTCTGACTACTTCTATAGTTGAAGCAAGAGCTGCCTCAGTACCAAAATGCGAGGTTAAATTCGATTCAATTATAATAGACGACGATCTTCAGCTCTTGATCCGTCTTAAAAATGTCCGTAGGAGACAATATCAAAGAACACGCGATCCTGCCATGAAAGTTATTTGGCGGGATTTACAAAAACAAATTAAAAAAACGATTCTCTGCCCTGAGCAACAAAACTTTTGAAAATAATGGTTCTAAATTAGACTCGAGTTCCAAACCCTTTTGGAAACTCACAAAAATTTTGAAAAAAACCTCAAAAGCCTATTCCAGCGAAGAAGGTGGTAAAATTTTGATCACAAATTTGGAAAAAGCTCAGAAACTTGCTAAGCAATTCGAGAGTTCCCATAATTTCAGTTTGGGTCTTACTAGTCCTATTGAGAATCAGGTTGCTCGGGATTTTCTGAATATTTTCTCTCGGGAAAATATTTTTGATGATTCCTGGGGGACTGATATGGACGAAGTAAGGTCTATAACTAAAAAGTTTCAAAATATGAAAGCTCCAGGTGATGATGGAATTTTCTATATCCTCATCAAAAAACTCCCAGAGAGTACCTTGTCTTTCTTGGTAAAATTATTTAACAGATGTTTCCATTTGGCATACTTTCCTGATAAATGGAAAAATGCAAAAGTTGTTCCAATTTTGAAGCCGGATAAAAATCCAGCTGAAGCTTCTAGCTACCGTCCAATAAGTTTGCTTTCTTCAATAAGTAAACTTTTTGAAAAAATAATTTTGAATAGAATGATGCTTCACATCAATACGAACTCAATTTTTGCAGATGAGCAGTTTGGATTTCGCCATGGGCATTCAACTACTCATCAACTCTTAAGAGTTACCAATTTAATTCGTTCAAACAAATCGGAAGGCCACTCAACTGGAGTTGCTCTTCTAGACATAGAAAAAGCATTCGACAGTGTTTGGCATGAAGGTTTGATTGCTAAATTGAAAAAGTTTAATTTTCCACTTTATATTATGAAATTAGTTCAAAATTATTTAACTGACAGAACTCTACAGGTAAATTATCAAAATTCCCAATCTAATCGACTACCTGTTAGAGCAGGAGTTCCTCAGGGTAGCATTCTTGGGCCTATATTGTATAACATTTTCACTTCGGACCTCCCTGTTTTGCCTCAGGGTTGCCACAAATCTTTGTTCGCTGATGATACAGGCATTTTCGCTAAAGGAAGAAGTCTTCGTATTATTTGCAGCAGACTGCAGAAAAGTTTAGACATTTTCTCTTCTTATTTACAAAAATGGAAGATTTCTCCCAACGCTTCCAAAACTCAACTTATAATATTTCCACATAAGCCTAGAGCTTCCTTTTTGAAACCTAGTAGTAGTCACATAGTCACTATGAACGGAGTTCCAATTTCCTGGTCAAACCAAGTGAAATATCTTGGATTAGTACTTGACCAAAAATTAACTTTTAAAGATCACCACATTGAGGGCATTCAAGCCAAATGTAACAAATATATATAAAAAAATGAAACTTGAAAGATGGACCTTAATAGAAGTTAAGAAAATTTAGAAGAAGTAATGATAAAAAAAAACTTTGTGATTGTTCAAATGGAGCAATTTTCTCGCCCTTCCGTATTTTTTTTATGGTAAATGCCACGTTGCCACGCCACCGCCGACAAAATTTTGATCGGCGTGCAATAACTCTAGAATTTCGGGGAAGGTTAAATATTTGTCAATGTTAGTTTGGATAAATTCTGGACTACTCCATCGAAAATTTAGAGAAACTGTAAGAGTTCTAGGAATTTCAGGTAAGCCCAGACAACTTCTGAGAAATCTAGAAAACGACATACATATTTTGGGAACTTTACAGATGTCTAGAAATTTTCAGGAAAAATCTTCAAATCTTTATCGGAATTGCACGAATTTTCAGGTAGCTTTGAGAACATCAGATCAGATCAATGAACATCAGTTCAGTACGTTACCTTAACTAGAAAATCAGGGAATTTTCGAAAACTTCAGAAAAGTCTCGAGATTTTGAGGCAAATCCACAATTTTCAGGGATGTTCCGATTACTTGAAGACTGATCAGATAACTTCAGAGCAGTCCCATTAATTCTGGAGAAACATGTGAAAATGGCCTATGTGTCAAATGTAAACGATTCAGGAAAACCGACATCAGCATCGGAAGTTCCGAAGAATTATGGACAATTCCAAGAATTTCAGAAATGTTCCGAACATTTCTGTAATATTTCCTACTCCAGTTTTGTGTGTACTTCCCTTAATTACAATTATTGGCGCTTCTTAAAGGGAGCTCATGAATTCGAGGTGGGTGGAGGCAAAAATATGCTAAATCTGTGAAAAACAGCTCTAAATTTTCCATGAAAGCACTGAATGCAACGCCAATAATGGTTAGCCTCGGGTTAGCTTTTCCAACCCAGCATTGGGGTAACATTGAGCCTGTTGATGTTGACTAACAAAAATATAAATAAATCAAGTAGACTACCCATCTTGCCCACCTTACCCTACAATTATACGACCACTGGCAGTACAGTATCGCTAGTTGAGACCAACTGTAGAATCTGTGATCCAAACATATTTAACATCCTAATTTTGTATCGAGAAGCCCTTCTCCCCTGCAAACTTCCACAATATTTCCTGCAACTTTTAAGGCATATTGAAGAAATTTGCGAAGTAGGTATTTGATAAATTGAAGCAAGTGATTGGTAACATTCCCAATGAAACTTGTACAGTACAGCTTATATCGCTCGAACAGACCAATAACAAAGCCCGTATTTAAGCAGCAAAAGCACTCACTTCCCATGGGAATTGTAACTCCTTCCCATTTTGCCCATTTCCAGAAACGCCAGCTGATCTTCGTGAAAATCCTGCAATCCTCCTTCAAGCTGACCCAGTGCAAATGGCTGTCACCTTCGCAGCGGTTCAACGTGGAGAACTGCATCCGAACGCTGTCGGAGAAGGCCAAACCGCGTGGCATCGCCATTCCGATCGACCTGGAAAACCAGGTGGTTAAAATGTTCAACAAGACTGCACTGCTGTCGCGCCAGACCAGCAAGTGGCTTCTGGTGACCAAGCAGACCAAGATGGAACGGTCCCAGTCGCAGATTATGCGGATGGACCGGAGCATAATCGAGGGGCTGCAGGACATTGTTTCGCTCCTGGAGGACAAGCTGAAACCGCTGGTGGAAGCCGAACAGTCGCTGCTGGTGGATATCCTGTACAAGTCGGAGTTGCTGTTTCCTGTCAACACAGAATCGAGGAAGAAGTGTGAGAGTGGAGATTTTATTCGGCATTTGATAAAACACACGGAGAAGTTGCTGGAGGAGAAAGAGGAGAAGTTGTGTGTGAAGATATTGAAAACGCTCAAGGAGATGATGACGATCGATTGCGATTACGGGGACAAAGGGGATCATTTGCGGACGATTTTGCTGAAAAGGTACTTTGGGCATGAGTTTGTTCAGCCTGCGTTGCCGGTGCAAGCCGGTGACCTATTGAAGGGAGTTGAACAACACACTGTACCGGTAGGGCTTCCCTTGGCTACCATTTCTCACGGACCGGGAGCAAAGTATCTGATCCGGGCCGGAAGGACATTGCATGAAGTTCAGAATGATCTGGATAAGGAGGGGGCGAGTGATTTGGTGATCGAACTGGTGATTAAATCGATCAATTCGCCTTCGATATTTGTGGAGGCGATCGAACTGGGAATAGCACTGTTGGAGGGTGGAAATCCTATAATTCAGAAGGGAATGTATAATAAGTTTTTGAGTAACGATTTGAGCCAGTCGTTCTTCAAGGTGTTTTTCGACAAGATGAAGGATTCTCAACAGGAGATCAAGTCAACGGTCACGGTGAATACGTCGGATATGGCTGCCAGCAAGGTGAATGAGAGTAAATCGGATGGCAAGGATTTCGATAAGATCCAGAGGAAGAATGTGAACAAGGTGAACGGCATTGTTATTACGGATGACTTCAAAGAAGAGCTGCAGAATGCGGCGTTGGTTACTCAACAGTCATTCATCAATGCTAGGAATTTGGCAGCAGCATCGGATGGAACGAGTTCCGAGAATGGCGATGATAGCGCTTTGATGAGCATAGGAACTTCCGCTCTGGAGGATATCCTGGCTGAAAAATTGGAAAAGCATAAGGATAAAGATGAGAATAACAAACTGTCCAACAAAGTTCTTGTCATGCAACCGATCCTTCGGTTTCTGCAGCTTCTCTGCGAAAATCACAACCCAGAGCTGCAGAACCTATTGAGGAATCAGAACAACAAAACGAACAACAATTTGGTTTCGGAAACTTTGATGTTCCTCGATTGCATCTGTGGCTCGACTACGGGAGGACTCGGTCTGCTGGGTCTGTACATCAACGAGAATAACGTGTCTCTGATCAACCAAACCTTGGAAACGCTAACGGAGTACTGCCAGGGACCTTGCCATGACAATCAGAACTGCATAGCCACGCACGAATCCAACGGGTTGGATATCATAACGGCGCTAATTCTGAACGACATCAATCCGTTGGGCAAGAATCGAATGGATCTCGTTCTGGAGCTTAAAAACAATGCTTCCAAACTGCTGCTTGCAATTATGGAGTCTCGAGGGGACAGTGAAAATGCGGAGCGAATCTTAGCCAACATGAATCCCAAACAGCTGGTGGATGTTGCTTGTCGAGCGTACCATCAGGACGAGAATATCCTCCTCCTACTGAATCAAGGAGATGGAAATACGGATGACAACTACAGCATGAAGCATGATCTGGCGGATGACCAGAACGACGACGACGATGTTGGGGTTTCCCCAAAGGAAGTCGGTCATAATATCTACATCCTATGCCACCAACTCGCTCAGCATAACAAAGAGCTGGCAAATCTGCTGAAGATCGACACTTACAGCGCTGCCACCACTAATAACGAAAGTCGAAGTGGGATCACCATACCGCCTCCAGTACCGGCAAGCACCAGCAAAGCCAATACGAAAATGAATCAAGCCTTACTGTTCTATCAGACCCACACGGCGCAAATTGAAATCGTACGGCATGACCGCACCTTGGAACAGATTGTGTTCCCGATTCCGGAAATTTGCGAGTACCTGACGAAGGATACGAAGGTGCGTGTTCTGAACACTGCAGAGCGGGATGATCAGGGTAGTAAGGTGGCCGACTTTTTCGACCGTCACGAAGCTATGTTCAACGAAATGAAGTGGCAGAAGAAGCTCCGCGGACAACCGGCGCTGTTCTGGGTCAGCAGCTACATGTCTCTGTGGAGCAACATTCTGTTCAATCTAGCCGTACTGATGAATCTGATTGTGGCGTTTTTCTACCCCTTCGAGAATAGTGTACCTGGTAAGTTTTTCGCCTCAAGAATCTTGAAAATTGTCTCAGGAAATGTAGACCCATATTTTTTTACAGAGTTAAGCTTCCACCTGTCGTCCCTCATCTGGATTGTAACGCTCGTGTCGCTGGCCATCGTGATCACTCTTCCGAGACAATCCGGCATACGGACGTTCGTTGTGGCGCTCATCCTGCGGCTGATATTCTCCTGCGGACCGGAACCGACCGTTTGGCTGCTGGGATGTGTGACCGTGATCATGAAGGGAGTTCACATCATCAGCCTGATGGGCAATTACGGTACGCTGGAGAAACACCTGCTGAAGATCATCACAGATGCGGAACTGCTGTATCACTTTGGATATCTATCGTTCTGCGTCTTTGGTGTGCTGCTGCATCCCTTCTTCTTCTCAATTCTGGTGAGTAACAATAGCCGCGCCAATAACATCAACATCGCTTGTTAAATCTCCCCTTCGTTCACAGCTTTTCGACGTAGTATACCGGGAGGAAACCTTGCTGAACGTGATTCGTTCTGTCACCCGCAACGGTCGGTCCATCGTACTGACGGCGGTTCTAGCTCTCATCCTGGTGTACATGTTCTCCATCATCGGGTACATGTTCTTCCGGGACGATTTCCTGGTTCCGGTGGACGAAGATTACGTGGCTCCAGAATCAGATCCCACAGCGTGCGTCGAATCGGAATCACGAAGTCATATGCTTCCGGACGGTCTCCAAGGCAGTGAACCGTACTGTACTCGGCCTCAGTCGGACGATACGAATGGAGGCGGTGAAGAAATGAAAGAACGAGGCTGCGATTCGATGGTCATGTGTATCATTACAACGCTCAACCAGGGCCTTCGGAACGGAGGTGGCATCGGGGATATCCTTCGGGCGCCCAGCCGCAAGGAGACCCTCTTCGTACCGCGTGTAATCTACGATTTGCTGTTCTTCTTCATCGTCATTATTATTGTGTTGAACTTGATTTTCGGTGTCATCATCGATACTTTTGCCGATCTGAGAAGCGAGAAGCAGCAGAAGGAACTGATTCTGAAGAATACCTGCTTCGTATGCGGGTTGAATCGGTCGGCGTTTGATAACAAAACGGTTAGCTTCGAGGAGCACATCAAGAACGAGCACAACATGTGGCACTACCTGTACTTTATCGTGCTGGTCAAGGTGAAGGATCCGACGGAGTTTACCGGTCCGGAGAGCTACGTACATGCGATGGTGAAGGTGAGAATCGTTAATTATCGCTAGTAGGTAGTGAAGCAATGATTTGAGGAGTGTGTTTTTTTTTCTCTCTAGGCAAACATTCAAGATTGGTTCCCACGGTTGCGTGCCATGTCGTTGGCGGCTGTGGACGGCGACGGGGAGCAGATAGAGCTTAGAAGTCTCAAAAATCTGCTGGAAACGAATCACATTGCCGTGCGGGAATTGACTACTCAGATTATGGAACTGGAGAACAAGGTAAGCGTTACATAAGCTGAGTTGCAATAGGGGTGCCAACTCTCGGCTTAGTGGTTTTTGAGCACAGTTGCTAATGGAGAGTTTTCTAAGCCTCTTTACCATTCTGGTATTGGTACATACTTAAATTGTTTGCCGAGATGGGCACGACCGAACAACAGTTTCCGAACAGTGGAAAACTTGACGAGAGTTAGCAAAATTTATGTTTGTAAGCTGAGATCTCGGCAAAATTCCCGTTTGTTTGCTGAATCCCGGCAAGTTTTTCACTGAGTTCCAAAATAACATGCCGAGCTGTTCGGTCGTGCCAATCTCGGCAGAAAAATCAAAGTGTTTAGGTTTGTATTGATTTCTTGAAATGGTAGATGTTATGTTTCATTTACCGTGTATCGGGAGAGATATTTTGTTCCACCTTAAACTGTTGGTCTTGAACAGAGTTGACGAAAACGTAGTTGAGTATTCGGGCGATTAAATTCGAGTTTTATTCTGTAAATTTAATGTCGGAAATAGAATACAACATTGGCGACGAGTCGGTTCGGACCTACCGGGAGTTGAACGGATACGGAATTAGTCTGGTGGCTAAAAGTCGAAGTTTCAGTAGTTTTTGAAGTTCGTCGTGCGGTAGCTACAGGCAACAAGATCGCTTACGATCCATTTCATCAGAGTCTTGCCACATTCGATCCCGGGAATACTGCGACTGTATCGGCAAGATGGAAAAAGTTAAAGAGATCTTTTGAAATTTTCCTGGAAGTCAACAACGTCGCGCTTGCATCGAGGAAGACATCATATCTTCTGCATTTCGCCGGGTCTACAGTTCAAGATATCCTCTTCGGTCTACGAGGGGACAATGAAACTGAAGTGCCGGTTGGATCCGACGCATACAAGGAAGCAGTCAAAGTTCTAGATGGGTATTTTCATCCTATGAAGTGCCTCCCGCTCGAGCGTCACAAGTTCCGGAACATAGATCAAGCAGCCGAGAAATCTATCGAGAAGTTTGTCCTGAGATTACATGAGTTGGGCAATCTGTATACGGTTGTTGGTTATTATGCCAACGACGAGAGTTGTAGAGCATTTTTCTTCGGTACCTTCTGGTCTTAGAGTTACCTCTATGGTAATATAGCATAGAGGTAACTCTAAGACCAGAAGGTCCCGAAGAAACGTGCTCAACTTTTTGGCTCAGCTCTTGTACTATCTTCGGTCAAAATTTAATCGATGCACCCCTTGAAACATATGAAAATCCACGAACCCCTCATTGTATCTGTCAAATTTCCATAGCGAATCAAAACAAACATAGTGTAGTACTAGAATTTCGACTAGAATGGGGTACGTTAATCAATTTGCTTGGGACCAATACGCTAGTCAAGTAGTAAGCCAATTAAAATCGTTAGTTTCCACCGGTTGGTAATAGTCAGCGCGGAACGGAGTATATCTCATTCGGACGATTCGGATGGCAGTATTGACGACGGTTTGAGTGAAGAAAACATCGAGTGCCTCTTTGCGATGGATCCAGATTGTGGTGAAAAGGTTACTTGTGCTGTGGGAGGAATCATGCTTGAATGGATTGTAGATTATGGAGCTGGAGTCAACGTAATTGATTGGAAAACGTGGGAGCACCTGCAGAAGAGTTCCGTTCTAGTGGATCACCAAACAAGGCATACGAAGAAAACTTTGAAGGCGTACGGAATCCATCCGATCAAGGTAGCGGGGATGTTTCGGACGGACATAGCAACAAAGGAAAAATCCGTTAATGCTGAAGTGTATGTCATCGAAGGTGAAGGTGTTACAAGTTCCCCGGTAGAGCTGAGCTACCATAGAGGACACACAAAACAGAACACTAATGGGCAAGTGCACCAACAAAACAAAATGGGGCCGAATGTTAGTTTAGCATTGTTTTATTCACACCCAATCTCCCACATTCCTTCTCCTGATTCACGCTTCCTGCCACCTTCCTCTCCCTATCCTTCTTTCTTTTTCTCTACTAATTTCCTAACTTATCGATATTACTCACATACATATCTTCTTCTTCTCGGTGCGGGGCACCATCTTCGTTGCCGTACACATGACATACAGCACCGCGCCGTTCTCTTGCCTTGATCTATTCTCGACGACTTCGATGATAACCTATCGCCGAAACAGCTCCGAAGTGGGTCTCGCACGACACGCCAACGTCGCGGGACTAAGACCCAGTGGCACAATCCACAAATCAGCTCCAATTGGGTCTCGCACGACACGCCACTGTCGCGGGACTAACACCCTGTAGATGCTTTTCCCACGCGATCCGCAAAGCACAGCTCCAAAGTGGGTCTCGCACGACACGCCACCGTCACGGGACTAAGACCCTGAAAGCACTCGCCTGGTATTGGTGCTTTGTTCAAGCCAAGGTAGAAAAAAGAACCCTAGAAAAATGGGCTAGTTTACTTGTCTGAAGGCAATTTCCTCGAGTTATTTCTTACCTCCGTGGAGGGCCTCTTTCGCTCTGAATCCGGTCTGGTCCTCGCTTCTCTGCGTCAGCAATTGGCTCTATTCCACAGGAAAACACGTTAGTTGAAAGGCGAATGACTGAATGGTTTTCGTTACCTTATAATTTGAAGACAGCAGCCACTGAGCTTTAGGGGGCGACCCCGGCGTAGTGGTTAACATCCATACCTCTCACGCCAAAGTCACGAGTTCAAATCTCACCCCCGGACAAGTCACGAATGACCCCAGAGTGTTAAAGTGACTATAATAAAAAAAAAAAAAGAAAAAAAAAAAAAAAAAAAAAAAAAAAAAAAAAGCCACTGAGCAGTTGCTGTGTTAGTGCTACGTCTGAACGGTAATTAGCAGATCGCAGGATCGTTTGCTATTCCGATTTGTTGCAACCAACTTTCCTCCCGGAATGCGTTCTCGCCGTGCCGGACGAACGTTGCTGGACAACCAAACTGACGTCGTTCAGGTGGAATTCTTCTCACCGTGCAAAATGTCACTGGGCAAACGTGCAATGTCGACGGATCAATCGCACTCCCGTCGTAGAGAATCGAGAAACCGCACTTCTCCACCGAACAATTTAACGCCACGCACTTCTTTCAACCAGCCAATCTGGTTTTTCGTTAACTGCGCTCGGTGCGAGCGACTCACTCACCGACGAACAATTACCTTCTGCTGACCGGAAATCTTCCTGCTGTTGATGTGCGTGAGGGATTTCATCCACCAAGCAAATTCCTAGTATGTGCGACGTTTTCCAGCGGGTGTGTGTCATGACAGCCCTGTTCTTCTCTCACTTGTGTTTACGCGTGAAATATTTCGATTACAGTTGCTTCGACTTAATCCGAACTCGAAATGATTCGCTTCCAACAAACGTATACGCAACAAAGGTCAATGCTTGTTAGACAGACAGACAGCGAATCAGTTGGATATCCTGAACATCGACACATCAGTTTGGGCGGTGAATCCAGAAGAAGATTGCAGGAATCGAAGCGAGGATCGAAATAAACCAAAACGTGAAATCTGTTCAGCAAACTCAGTGACATATACCCATTCCACTTCGTGAGAAAACGAAAAAGGAAATCAAGAGGTTGATGAAGCAGGATGTGATTGAACCGGCACCTCATTACTCGCCGTGGATCTCCCGTCTCGTAGTCAGGCAGAAGACTGGAAATCCTTCAGAAGTAAGGTTGTGCGTGGATATGCAAGCCGCAAACCTTGCAATTCGCACTATTCGCTGCCGACCTTTGATAGCATCATTCCTCACCTGGGTGATTGTACCTCTGGCAAAATAATTACCGGTAGAAGCCATTATGAAATTTCGGGAGCCACGCACGGTGGAGGAAGTCCGCTGTTTTCTGGGGTTGGTTATCTATCTTGGTAAGTTCATACCGAACCTGGCCACGGTAACCTCCCCATTGAGGAAGCTGCTAAGGAAACCCGTTGACTTTCACTGGGATGAGAAGCAACAGGAGGCCTTCGAACAAATCAAGCAAATTATCGTAGATCCTAAGAATCTGGGGTACTATTCGCCAATGGACAAGACCTTTCTTATTGCGGTCGCAAGCCCCACCGGATTGAGCGCTGTTTTGATTCAGGAGCACAATAGTAAAAAAAAAGTAATTTACTACATAAGTAAAAGACTATCGGAGAAGGAGATGGCTTACGCTCACAACGAAAAAGAAGCGCTTGCATTAGTGTGGGCGACTGAAAGACTGGAAATGTATTTGAGGGGACTCGAATTCTTCTTGGTGACAGATCATCAGCCACTTAAAGTGATTTTTGGACCAAATCATCGTTCGTGTCCAAGCATCGCACACTGGGGACAAAATAGAAACAATGTGTTAAAATTCAATAACTTCGGTGCTCACTGGAACAAGAGACTAAAAAATAGTCATTCTTATAGAAAAAAGTCTCAGGAATCGATTGGAGTGGGTTTCATCTTGGGCACGATAGGGTAAGTTGGGGTTTTTCACAGTTTTGCCCTAAAATCTCCTATTTTGCATGATTTGAATGCTGTATCTCAAGATACCGATGATATAGACGGATGATTTCTTCGGCAAAGTTGATCAGGAGGTCAAGGACTGTTGGATCATAGACAGAAAAATTCGGAATTCTTCCGCTAGGCGGCGCTAGTGATTATTGAAAGTGAATATATTTGTGCTGCTGTATCTCCAGATCCTGACTATTTAGACGGATGATTTCTTCGGCAAAGTTGATCAGGAGGTCAAGGGCTGTTGGATGATAGACAGAACAATCCAGAATTCCTCCACTAGGCGGCGCTAGTGAGCATTCAAAGTGTATATGTTTGTACTGCTGTATCTCAAGATCCTGACTATTTAGACGGATGATTTCTAAGACAAAGTTGATCAGGAGATCAAGGACTGTTGGATGATGGACAGAACAATTCGGAATTCCTCCGCTTGGCGGCGCTAGTGATTATTGAAAGTGAATATATTTGTGCTGCTGTATCTCCAGATCCTGACTATTTAGACGGATGATTTCTTCGGCAAAGTTGATCAGGAGGTCAAGGGCTGTTGGATGAT